CCCCGCTGCCCCGCCACCCCGCCCGCTGGCCCGCCGACTCACAGAAGTGCTCAGGGAAGCCCATGAGGTACCAGAAGCGGAGGCAGGAGGCCTGGGTGGGAGGCAGGGGCTGGCTGCGCAGCCAGGCTGCCCGGCCCCCCGGACCCAGCACTCCTGTTTCAAAGACGGCAAAGTGGCCTGGGAACGAGAGAGAAAGGGGGGCCCAGTGATCGACAGGAACTGACCCCTGGCCAGAGGCCTCTGACCCTGAGGGAGCCTGGCTGAGCTGGGCTGCTGGCCCTGGCGGGGGTGTGGCGGGCGCCCTGGTGTGTGTGTAGCTCTGGGGCCCCTCCCTGACCCAGACCCACCTGCGTCAGTTCCCAGGGTGTGGTCCACGGGGGGCTGGGGGTACCGGGAGGGTGTGGATCCACTGCTCCAGTCCCAGCTGTACCCTCCCAGGCTGGGCCAGGACAGGTGGCTCCAGCCACACAGGCCCGTCTCAAAGTCACAGGAAGCTGCGAGGGACCCGGCAGTGAGTGGTGCTGCCCCGCCCCCATCCCTGGGGCACCACCGCTGCTGGGGATGCTTGGCACAGAGCTGGTCCCACCCATGCGTCACGGCAGGTCCCAGGGCCAGGCTGCAGGGCGCCCACCTGGCGGAGGGCAGGGTCCATCCTGGAGCAGCAGGTCATCCAGCGCGATGTAGGAGTGCTCCACACCAGCGGCCATGGCCTCAAACACCACCTGGGCAGGCGCGGAGTGAGGCAGCTCCACGCCTGGCCTGGACAGCCCTCAGGGAGGGAGGGCCCCGCCCCGGCACTCACCCTCCAGGCCTGCTGGGCCTGCACGGCCACTCTGCCCAGGCGCCAGGCCAGCCCCCCACGCTCGCTGATGCTCAGCACCCGGTGCCGCTCTGCCGCCTCCACGCGGACCTGCAAGGTACCTGCCCCCAAGCGCCGGCCGGTCAGCAGCGGCCCATGCCCTCAGCCCGAAGCAGTGGCTGCCATGTGGCTTGACACGGGGCTGGTGTGGGCGGACCACCCGCCTCCTGGCAGCCCTCACCTGGGTTTCGGAGGCTCAGGTGGTACCAAAAGGTCAGGCAGGCGGGTTGGGCCAGGGGCTGGTGCTCCTCCGAGGTCAGGGAGGCCGCGTGGCCACGGGGCAGGGCCTGTGGGCTCGTGTCCACGATCATGTAGTGGCCTGGGCGAGGGAGCCAGCTCCAGCCTGCTGCCCGACCCTCCCTGACCTCACCTGCCCTTGGCCCCACCCTCAGCCCCTCGCCCAGCCCAGGACGCACCATGAGCTGTCTCCGTGGTGTGGTCAGCCCGGGGGCCCCAGGCGGCGTGGCCCGTGGCGTGGGCCTGGCGCATCCAGAGGTCCCCAGTGGAGAAGCCGCAGGCCGAGTCCTCGAAGGAGCAGTGCTGGGGGGCCCAGCAGGGCCCCGGTCGCAGGGCCAGGTCGTCCAGCGCCATGGAGCCGTGGAACCCGTCCCGCAGGCCCTCGAACAGCAGCTGGGGGCGGAGGGTGTCAGCGCCGGGCCTTGCCCTGGCCCTCGCCCCAGAGGCAGACCTCACCTCGTACTGGGCGCCCGTGTCTGGCGGGTGGTGGAGGGTGGCCCAGGCCTGGTGCCAGCGGTTGCCCTGGGTGCCGGACCTTGACCACAGGTGCACATCCTTCCCATCCTGCCTCATCACCAGGCGCAGGGTCCCTGTGGGGCGAGTGGCGCTGAGGGGGGACCAGGCCCTCCCTGCCCGCGCCCCAGTTCCTCCAGAACCTGGGCCACCTGAGCCTCAAGCCCTGCCCGGCGCCGGGCACTCACCGATCTGGGGCCCGTGGAGGTGGTACCAGAAGGACAGGCACTGCTGAGGGGCTGCCGGCGTCTGGGGCTGGGTGAGCAGGTGGGCGCCAGGGCCCCGAGCCAGCGGGTCCACGGGGTCCAGGAGCATGAAGTAGCCTGCGGGCGGGGGAGTTGACACGGCTGAGCTGCACGGACTCCAAGAGGCTGCCCTCCAGCCCAGGCCTCAAACTGACTCCCAGGCCTGGGCACTGCCCCTAAGTCTGGGTGCTCCCACCTACCTTTGCCTGTGGTGTGGTCGTACCCAGGCCCACGGCTCTCCACCCGGTGCCAGTGGGCGTCGGTGAGGTGGCCCGTGTGCCAGCCACACGTGTGCCGCTCAAAGTTACAGGAGACCTCTGGGGGGGAGGAGGGGTCAGCCCCCCCCCCCCAGGACTCCCCTCTATCCCTCCTGAGGCCTGGGAAGCTGGGAGGTGAGCTCTCGGGTGGGTCTCTGGGGTCCCTAAGGTGGTCAGTGTGGAGGAGTGGGGATGGGGGTGGGACCTGTGTCTCTCTTGGTGGCCACGGTGGGGCTGCAGTCCTTCAGGGTCACGTTGTCCACCCCGGCACCCTGCTGGCCAGGTCCCTCCCAGTCCACGAGGCCGACAAACTCCAGCTTCATGGGGGCACGGGGGAGAGCTGTTAGGTCCAGGCAGCTCCATGGCCCCCCCTCACGTGGCTGCCCCCTCACCTGGAAAGGCCGGCGGCGTTGCCCCAGGAGGACTGTGTCCGCCTTCCAGGCGCTGCTGCTGCTCCGGGCCTCCCACACCAGCTCCCGGGCACCGCCCTCCACCACCAGCAGCGCCAGGAAGCCTGGCCGAGGGGGCACCAGGGGTCAGCTGCTCGCCCCCCTCCTGCAGGGCACCCCCCTGCAGGGCCCACCTCCCAGCTCCACCCCTCAGGGCTGGGCAGAGGCCCCAGGGAAGGCAGGTGAGCAGTACCTTGGGGGTGGCTCTGCAGAAAATAAGCCATGTGGAGCTCACAGTGGCGGCCCGAGGGGCCCAGGGCAGGTGTGAGGGCCCTGGCCGCTGCTGTCCGCTGTCCCCAGGCCCTCTGCAGGGACAGGAAGTGCCCTGGGAGAGCGGGGCCTTAGAGCGACTCCTTCCAGGGACCCCCAGCTCTGGACACCCACCCCCTGCGGAAGAGGCAGAGCAGAGGCTTCAGGCTGCCTGGGGTGGGGGGTGGGGAGTGGGGTCGGGGGTGGGGGGGGCTCACCAGCTGCAGCCCCGCTGGCATCAATGCCAGGGCC